TTGAGTCGGTTTCCAGACCGGCCTAAAAAGCAGGCACATCTCACTGTGAATTAAGGGAGGGAAGCTCGGTTCAGCTCCGTCTGGGCATCCCTTAATAATCAAGGAAGGCTTTTTCGCTTCTTACAAGGAAAAATATTAATATGAATGTAACATTATTATCTTCTTTTCTGCTGAAGAATGGAAACGGCTCTCCTGCATAAAAGCAGACATAATGGCTGTTGAGACACCGTAAATTGCAGCCCGGGAAACTAATGAATAATACATATTGCAATAAGGGTGTCCATAAAAGGTTTGCCTCCTTCCTTCCTTCCTTCCTTCCTTCCTTCCTTCCTTCCTTCCTTCCTCCCTCCCTCCCTCCCTCCCTCCCTCCCTCCCTCCCTCCTCACTTTCTTCATTTTTCTTTTTTTCTTTTTTTTACTTTCCTATTCATTAAACTTCCTGCTTAGTTTATTTCAGGATGTTTCAAACAAACAAACAAACAAACAAACAAACAAACAAACAAACAAACAAACAAACAAACAAACATATTATCGTGACCTAACCGGATCCTTTGTAAGGTCCTAGCCCTGGAAGTGACCACTTTTTACTTTTTAAATTCTGCTAATATAATCCAGGTTTATTCGGGGGTGGGGGGGGCATGAAAGCGTTTGGAAAGAAAGAAAGGAGTGTTGCAACACTCCGAAGCCAAGAAACAGAAATGCGCAAATTTGGCAGGTTGCTCCCGTTTTTGTCTTGGCTGGAAAACGTGGCAACGATGGCGCTGGGGTTCCCGCATTATTAAGCCGTGCTTCATTTCATCCTGGCTTTGCATAAACCATGAAGCCTGTTGCAAAGGGCGTCTTCCCACCAGCTGTGAAAACTGGGAGCTCTCCAGCATTGGGGTTCTGGGACCACCTAAAATAATAAAACGCACGGATGTGACAGCCTCCTATTCCTGAATAACTATATCAGAACAGGCTTCCCGTTCTTTCTGAGCAAGCTTGGCTGAGCAAGCATGGTTTCTGGCAAGGATCTAGCTGGGTGTGTGTATGTATAAGCCACGTTGGTAGGATCGTGGTCAGGACAGATCGTGGTCAGGACACGCTCCATGGAGAGGGATGTCTTTCAGCAGCCTTTCTGTTCCCAGCTGTTGTGGCCCCTCCAGCAGCCGAAGCAGAGGAGGAGGAGGAGGGGTGGGAGTCAGAGTCAGCATCAAGGCAACCTGAGACCTCCAAGGGGGAAGAGGGAATGGAGCTGGCAGAGAGAGAGGTGGAGACTGGGCCGTCCGTCAGCTCTCAGATGGAGAGTCAACAGCCCCCAGGTCTGGAGGTGGCTGATGAGGAAGAGGAGGAACAGCTGGGTCCAGTGCCTGACACGCAGATGCACAGTAGGCAGAGGAGAGGAGAGCAGTGGAAATCTATGGGCTGGTCCTTGGGACTGAAGAACCACCGCTGCTAGCAAAGCCCCACCCTAGCTGTGGGGATAAAAGGCAGGGGGCGGAGATGAATAGATGTGGCAGACAACTATTCCTCTCCCGGCCGGACAGACTTGTTAGCCTGTGGTGAGAGAGAAACTTTTTGCCGGGGCTGCCGGCGCTCCTAATAAAGGAATCTTTTGAGTTAACGTCAGAGGGTTTGTCGTGTTTGGGGAGGTGGGTCAGAACCCCAGCAATGGCTCCTCCATCACCTACTCATTCTTGTCTGCTGCCCATGGTGATCCTTGACTTATGACCACAACTGAGCGCAAAATTTCCATTGCTAAGTGAGATAGTTGTTAAGTGAGTTTTGCCCCAGTTTATGACCTTTCCTTGCCATGGTTGTTAAGTGGATCTGGCTTCCCCCTTGACTTTGCTGGTCAGAGGGTCGCAAAAGGGGATTACAGGACCCCGGGACACTGTCACCGTCAATATATAAATATATAAATATAAATATACAAATTCTATTCTATTCTATTCTATTCTATTCTATTCTATTCTATTCTATTCTATTCTATTCATTTTGTATTCTATTCCTATTCCTGTTCTATTCTATTCCACCCTACTTCTATTCTACCCTACTCCTATTCTATTTTATTCTACTCTACTCCACTCCACTCCATTCCACTCCTTATTTCTATTCTATTCTATTCTATTCTATTCTATTCTATTCTATTCTATTCTATTCTATTCTATTCTATTCTACTCTACTCTACTCCCCATTCCATATTCTATTCTATTCTATTCTATTCTATTCTATTCTATCTATTCTATTCTATTCTATTCTATTCTATTCTATTCTATTCTATTCCACTCCACTCCACTCCACTCCACTCCACTCCACTCCACTCTACTCTAATTCTGTTCTTATTGTATTTTATTCTATTAATTCTATTCTACTCTACTCTACTCTACTCTACTCTACTCTACTCTACTCTACTCTACTCTACTCTACTCTACTCTACTCTAATTCTGTTCTTATTGTATTGTATTGTATTCTATTCTATTTTAACACCTCATCCTCTACTATGGTTCCTTTCTCAACAGGAGCTATGAAGATCCCATTGAGAGCGAAATCGTCAACGAGAGGATTCCCTACTTGCACGGCAGCTACGCGGCACCTTTGGCGCAACCCGAAAGGGGTAGCATGGCCAGCATCGACCGCCTGGGCAAGCGCTCCCCCTCCATTGACAGCATTCGCAAAGACCCCCGGTGGCGAGACCCGGATCTCCCCGAAGTCATCGCCATGCTCAGCCACCCCATTGATCCCGTGAAATCCAACGCAGCAGCCTACCTCCAGCATCTCTGCTACGAGAACGATAAGATCAAGAAGGACGTGAGGCATCTCAAGGGCATTCCCATCCTGGTGGGTCTGCTGGACCATCCCAAGCCTGAGGTCCACCGCAAAGCGTGCGGGGCCCTCCGGAACATATCCTATGGGAAGGATAATGAGAACAAAGTGGCCATCAAGAACTGTGATGGGATCCCAGCTTTGATCCGGTTGTTGCGCAAGACGAGTGACATGGAAGTACGAGAACTCATTACAGGTCAGTAGTTGGGGTTGTTTCTTCTTCTTCCTCTCCTCCTCCTCCTCCTCTTCTTCTTCTCCTCCTCCTCCTCTTCTTCTTCTTCTCCTCCTCCTCCTCTTCCTCTCCTCCTCCTCCTCCTCCTCCTCCTCCTCTTCTTCTTCTTCTTCTTCTCCTCCTCCTCCTCCTCCTCTTCTCCTCCTCCTTCTCCTCCTCCTCCCCTCCTCCTTCCCCCCTCCTCCTCCTCCTCCTCCTCTTCTTCTTCTTCTCCTCCTCCTCTTCTTCTCCTCCTCCTCCTCCTCCTCCTCTTCTTCTTCTTCTTCTTCTTCTTCTCCTCCTCCTCCTCCTCCTCCTCCTCCTCCTCCTCCTTTTCCTCCTTTCTTGTCTTCTTCTCCTCCTCCCTCCTCCTCCTCCTCCTCCTCCTCCTCCTCTCCTCCTCCCCTCCTCCTCCCCCCCCTCCTCCTCCTCCTTCTTCTTCTCCTCCTCCTCATCTTCTTCTTCGTCTTCTTCTTCTTCACCATCTTCATCTTCTTCTCCTTTCTTGCTCATTATCTATCTCCTCCTCCCTTCCATCACTCCTTCTCCTTCTAATCCTCTATATTTCTTCCTCCTCCTCTTCTTCTTCTCCTTCTCCTCCCTCTCCTCCTCCCTTTTGTCAGTGTTGATGGTGTTGAAGCAGTGCTCCAGAAATTTTGAGATTGCACCCCTGGAGCCTGTCACTATTGGTACTACCTTTGCTTTCTAAATGCTCCACTTATTCATTGTTCTCACTGTCAGGAAATTTCTCCTTAGTTCTAAATTGCTTCTCTCCTTGATTAGTTTCCACCCATTGCTTCTTGTCCTGCCTTTAGGTGCTTTGGAGAATAGTTTGACTCCCCTCTTCTTTGGGGCAGCCCCTGAGATATTGGAACATTGCTATCATGTCATCCCTAGTCCCTCTTTTCATTAAACTAGACATAACCCAAATTTGCAACTGTTCTTCCTACGTTTTAGCCTCCAGTCCCCTAATCATCTTTGTCGCTCTTCTCTGCACTCTTTCTAGAGTCTCCACATCTTTTTTACATCGTGGCGACCAAAACTGAATGCAATATTCCAAGTGTGGCCTTACCAAGACCTTATAAAGTGGTATTAACACTTCGCATGCGTGCTCCAGTTTGGGCACTCGGTTCCAAAAAGATTCGCCATCACTGTCCTAGATTAAAAAACACTGAGGTTTGTCCAGTCAGCAAACTCAAGCTGTTCTGGGTAATTTTTATTTATTTTTTTTAAAATTTGATTTATATGCCGCCCTTCTCTGGAGACTCAGGGTGGCTTACAATACGTTAAGCAATAGCCTTCATACTTTTGTATATTTATACAAAGTCAGCTTATTGCCCCCACAAACTGGGTCCTCATTTCACCTACCTTAGAAAGGATGGAAGGCTGAGTCGACCTTGAGCCTTGGAGAGATTCGAACCAGCAGTAATTGCAGGCAGCTGTGTTAATAACAGGGTGCTTAGACCACAGTACTATCAAGGCTTTTGATTTGTCGGTTGATTCAGCCACAATTCATAACATTTTTGTTTATGCCTCAGCTTGGATGTGGTCTCCTGAGGCTCCGAGAGAACATTGCATCTCCGCTGCTCGTTTTCTGATTCACAACACAGAGCGGAATGGGAACAAGGAGGAAGAAAAAGAAAATAACGATGTGAGAAAGCAGCATATGGCCTGATAAAAACTAGGTGTGGCATAAGAGTTCCCAATGGAGATCGGGTTGCAACAAACTCATTACCCTCCCTTGGAGAACAGCTGGAGGAACTGAGCATCTTAAGTGGCTTTTGTTTCCCCTCGGGGTATTTATCGCAAAGTAATTCTTGGGAGAGTTTGACAATGGTTCAGAGCTTGGTGGCAAAGAAAGCTGTAAGTCTGCAGAGCAGAAATCCCATTTTTGGCTCTGCGTTGGAATTTGCAGGAGGGTCAAGGGTGAAATGCTACCGGTTCAGAACGGTTCGGGCGAACCGCTATTTAAAAAATGCTACCAGTTCGGGCAAACCGGTATTTCCAGCTATCAGATGGATAATGATCAGCTGTGACGTGCGATTTATATTAGCCAGAACAGAGGCGGGGTTCGGCAGGTTCTAACCAGTTCTGGAGAACCGGTAGCGGACATTTTGAGTAGTTCGGAGAACCAGTAGTAAAAATTCTACAGACATAAACTCAGAACCTCAGCTCCCTGCCCGCCCCCCCCCCCCCCCCCCAGCAGATATTTTGGTGCCAGCTTATCTACAAGACAAAAGACCTTCAACTCCAGGAGGATGGGATTATCCTTCAGGGCAAAGCCTTTCAGCCACAATAGGAAATTGCCCTTCATTGAATCACCCAGCAAGATTTAACCAAGCCTGGGACACAGACAACCTCAGGTATGAAAGCATAGCCCCATGGGAGTCTGACTGCAACCAATAGGATAAGCTCAAATTCAAAGCTGAAGAGAGGGTATAAATCAATCTCTCCCCTCTCCCTCTCCCTCTCCCTCTCCCTCTCCCCTCTCCCTCCCTCTCCTCTTCCTCTCTCCCTCCCTCTCTCTCTCTCCCCTCTCCCTCCCTCTCCCTCTCTCCCTCGCTCTTTCTCTCTCCCCTCTCCCTCTCCCTCCCTGTCTCCCTCTCTCCCTCCCTCTCTCTCCCCTCTTCCTCTCCCTCCCTCTCCGTTTCCCTCTCTCCCTCCATCTCTCTCTCTACCCTCTCCCTCCCTCTCCATCTCCCTCCCTCCCTCTCTCCCCTCTCCCTCCCTCTCCGTCTCAGTCTCTCCCACCCTCTCTCTCTCTCTCTCCCCTCTCCCTCCCTCCCTCTCTCTCTCTCTTCCATGTGCTCAATTGCCCAGGACCCAAAAAACTCATGTGGTTCCATCCACCATTAAACCATCTTTCCAAACAGCCTCCATGTTTCCCAGCATCTTTCTCCCCACTTGGAACTGAACCCAGATGGACACTTTCTTCCAACAATTTACCTTGCTAAACCTGGTTTATTAATTTTATTGACAATTAACCTTGTTAAACAAACCCCAGTGGTATGGCTTGAACATGACCCTCAGCCGACCACAAGGTTTTTTTTTTGTTTTGTTTTTTGCGTTTGGAAAGTGACCACTCGTTTCTCAACCTTTGCAAAAAAAACAAACAAACATACAGTCTCAGGTTTTTTTTTTCAAGCAGCATTAGTCGGAATAATTTCCTACCGATTTCAAAACACATCGGTGAGTTTAAGTAGCGTTCTGAGTCTCCACCGTACATTACAAAGACCAAACATTTGGATAAATCTTTCATTACCGGCTTTGCAAATTGAATTATTTGCAAATTGAATATGGAATGCAGCCTTTTCTCGTTCTCGAATTGCGCTCGGCAATTACAATCTTAAAATAATAGTCATAATAACCTTTTTTTTTTTTTTTTGCTCTTGAATATGAGGATGGCGGTAGTTGGTCTTGAAATGCACTGGCTTGGAAATTTTCGGCCCTTTACGATAACTGCTTGGGAAGAAATCAAAGATAATTGCCTGGGTTTTGTGCATTTCTTGAGAACTAATCGCTGTGACGCTGAGCCAGAAGGAACAATAAGGTTTCTCCCCCCCCCCCCCCCCATTCTTGTCATCTCACCATTTACTGGCCAGAGAATAATAGAATAACAGAGTTGGAAGGGACTTTGGAGATCTTCTAGTCCAATCCTTTGCTCAAGCCAGGAGACCCTCCCATTTCAGGCAAATGGTTGTCCAATCTCTTCTTAAAAGTCTCCAAGTTTTGGAGCACCCAAAACTTCTGGAGGCAACTCAGGGGCTGCCCCAAAGAAGAGGGAGTCAAGCTATTCTCCAAAGCACCTGAAGACAGAACAAGAAGCAATGGGTGGAAATTTTGGGCTCCGTCGTGGTCGTAAGCCGAGGCCTACCTGTAGTAATGGTTGTGATGGTTGTAAAAGCAAGCCACACACAGGACCGACCTGATTTTACATCCATTTGGAAGCATAATGCAGATGAGGACGGCCGTTACGTTCCATCAGTCTGCAGAGAGAGAGAGAGAGAGAGACAGGACTCGTTTGGAGGTCACATTGAATCGGGGCATGTTTTAAATCATCCGAGATCAGTTTGCCCTTTCTGGCTCTGGAGCTGAAGTGCCACTTAAGCATTGCAAGCGGTTGGAGATAAAATTCCGTTTGGGACATGTTTCTTTTAACAATACCCCTAAAAACGATTGAATGCCGTTGCCCTTGGGATGCGAGAAGGCCTTGACTCCTAAAAATATAAATTTTCCAATCCGGATTAGGAGATGGTTCAGTTCTGGAACTTTTCTTTCCCGTCTGGTTTTTTTTTTCATGGTTGGGTTTGATGGGAGTATTTGAGTTTCAATCAGCGGTGAAATCCACTAACCTTCGCTAGCGGTTCGGGAACAGGAGCGCGGAAGGTTAAAATAAAAACAGGATGTAATGACATCCTGGTGGGTGAGTGGAGCCTCCCACCCCTGGCGCTACAGGTTCGGCAAGGCAGATAGAACCGGGCGGATTTCACCGCTGGTTTTAATAGAAGAGAATATATGTAGCTCAGGGTTTAACTGTGGGGTCCTTGGTGCTTTCTGAACTTGGTGGTTTTCTTGCAGATGTTTCATGACCAAACTAGGTAGTATCATCAGTGTTACCAGTGTTAGAAGGGGCTGGGTTTGAGGAGGAGGAGGAGGAGGAGGAGGTCCTTGATGCTTTCTGAGCTTGGTAGTTTTCTTGCAGATGTTTCACGACCAAACTAGGGAACATCATCAGTGTTAGAAGGGGGTAGGTTTGTGGAGTGGAGGAGGAGGAGGAGGAGGAGGAGGAGGACTGTGGGGTCCTTGGTGCTCGCTGAGCTTGGTGGTTTGCTTGCAAATGTTTCATGGCCCAACTAGATAACATCCTCAGTATCTTGTTTCCTTTTTGGCGTTTTGATTATTTTTGAATGGCATGTAGATGTTGTTTATCTCGATGTGCCCGTTGATGGCCAATTTGTCCGAGTGCCAAAAAGGACTGCTCTGTTTGGATCACAGTATTTAAATCGCGTTGCTTTCCCCTTTGCAATGTGACCCACAGGGCAAACCTAGGGCCAGTTTAGAGTAGTGATTAAGGCAGCAAACTAGAAAGTGAGTGATCGTGAGTTCAAATCCTCCCTTAGCCACGAAAGCCAACCGACAACGCTCTATCCCAACCCACCTCGCGGGATGGTTGTGAGAAAAATAAGAGGAGCAGGGCGTGTTGGATGTGTTCACCACCTTGAGTTATTTGTAAAAATAATAACAATACAAATAAACAAGGGACGCGGTGGCTCAGTGGCTAAGACGCTTAGCTTGTTGATCGAAAGGTCAGCAGTTCAGCAGTTCGAATCCCTAGTGCCGCGTAATGGAGTGAGCTCCCGTTACTTGTCCCAGCTTCTGCCGACCTAGTAGTTCGAAAGCACGTAAAAAATGCAAGTAAAAAAAAATAGGGACCACCTTTGGTGGGAAGGGAACAGCGTTCTGTGCACCTTTGGCGTTGAGTCATACCGGCCACATGACCACGGAGACGTCTTCGGACAGCACTGGCTCTTCGGCTTTGAAACGGAGATGAGCACCGCCCCCTAGAGTCGGGAACGACTAGCACATATGTGTGAGGGGAACCTTTACCTTTACAAACAAACAAATAAGCTTATACATGTTTTCCTGCTCATTTCTATCAACTGTTTTCCACTGTTTCATCCTACTCAAGGCACCCTCTGGAACCTGTCATCTTACGAACCCCTCAAAATGGTGATCATTAACCACGGTCTTCAGACGCTGACCAATGAAGTGATCATCCCTCATTCGGGGTGGGAGAACGAGCCGAACGAAGATTCGAAGCCTCGCGACGCGGAGTGGAGTACAGTCTTCAAGAATACGTCAGGATGTCTGAGGTGAGAAACGGGGAGTCCGTACGGCAGTTCCATTGGCCAAAGGGAGGGAAACGGAAGCCGAAATGGCATTCAGTTAGTTCAGGTAACCAGATGGTGTAGGGACTCCTGCTTGGGCAGGGGGTTGGACTAGATGACCTACAAGGTCCCTTCCAACTCTGTTAATCTGAATCTATCTGTTTTATAGTCGGTGCTGGGGAATATTTGGTTGAATTTTGCATAAACCTGTTTTGGTGTAAAATAGTCGCTCAGTGGCTAAGACGCTGAGCTTGTCGATCAAAAGGTCAGCAGTTCGGTGGTTCGAATCCCTAGTGCGGCGTAACGGGGTGAGCTCCCGTGACTTGTCCCAGCTTCTGCCAACCTAGCAGTTCGAAAGCAGGTAAAAAATGCAAGTAGAAAAATAGGGACCACCTTTGGTGGGAAGGGAACAGCGTTCCGTGCGCCTTTGGCGTTTAATCCTGCCGGCCACATGACCACAGTGACGTCTTCGTACAGCGCCGGCTCTTCGGCTTTGAAACAGAGATGAGCACCGCCCCCTAGAGTCGGGAACGACTAGCACATATGTGCGAGGGGAACCTTTACCTTTACCTTTTAGTTACCTTTGCTTGTAGAGCTATAGTCTTGCATTCGAAGTAGGCAAATGTATTCCGAGAAGAATTTTAAACTCAATATGGTCCAGAGTTACCCTGAGATAAGATGGGGGGCCAATACAATGAATGAATGAATGAATGAATGAATGAATGAATGAATGAATGAATGAATGAGGAAGGAAGGAAGGAAGGAAGGAAGGAAGGAAGAAAGAAAGAAAGAAAGAAAGAAAGAAAGAAAGAAAGAAAGAAAGAAAGAAAGAAAGAAAGGGATATCAAGAACAATGGATTGACACAGCCAGTTTGGGGGGTGGATTAACTGTTTTTAGGCTGAAAAAGAGCATCTATCTATCTATCATCTATCCATCTATCCATCCATCCATCCACCCATCATCTATCTATCTATCCATCCATCCATCCGCCCACCCGCCCATTATATCTATCTATCTATCTATCTATCTATCTATCCATCCATCCATCCATCCGCCCGCCCGCCCGCCCGCCCGCCCGCCCGCCCGCCCGTCCATTATATCTTATCTATCCATCCATCATCTATCTATCTATCTATCTATCTATCTATCTATCTATCTATCTATCATCTATCCCATCCATCCAACCATCCATCCATGCATCCATCATCTATCTATCTATCCATCCATCCATCCATCCATCCGCCGGCCCATCCATCCATCCATCCATCCATCCATCCATCCATCCATCCATCCATCCATCCATCCATCCATCATCCTATCTATCTCTATCTATCTATCTAATCTATCCATCTGCCCATCCATCATCCATCCATCCATCCATCCATCCATCCATCCCATCTTATTGCATTCTTTTCTGGACCTTTGAACCAACCAGCAGCAGGAACTGAAGTGGTGGTAGTTTAGGGGGAAAAAAAGATTGATTGACCTCATTTTGAGGCATTCTGTTTTACGTTTGATCAGTTTTTTAGGCCGATATAAATAAAGAAGAGAAAATGAAACGAATCACTCAGCATATATTTCATGTGCTTCCATAGCTCGGCATCCAGGCATCCTATAATAATAGAGATTTGTAAATGCTGACAGGGCAGTGACAAACGTTGATTGATCATCCATGCAAGAAACAAATAGATGGGTATTTTTAACTTCTACTTGAACGGAGACAAATTCCTGGTGGGAAAAAATGAAGTGAAAAGCCACAGAAAAACAAAAGAGAGAGGCAAAAAGGGGAAAGGAATAGAATACATACATATAAATGTATACATCACAGTATAATGGTGAAAAGAAGGAGTAGGCGAGACATGGTAGCAGACTTCCAATATTTGAGGGGCTGCCACAAAGAGGAGGAGATCAAAACCACCTGAAGGCAGGAGAAGAAGCAACGGGTGGAAACTAATCAAGGAGAGAAGCAACTTAGAACTAAGGAGAAATTTCCTGACAGTTGAAACAATTAACCAGTGGAACGACTTGCCTCCAGAAGTTCTGAATGCTCCAACACTGGAAATTTTTAAGAAGATGTTGGATAACCATTTGTCTGAAATGGTGTAGGGTTTCCTGCCTAAGCAGAGGGTTGGACTAGAAGACCTCCAAGGTCCCTTCCAACTCTGTTATTCTATTCTATTCTATTCTATTCTATTCTATTCTATTCTATTCTATTCTATTCTATTCTATTCTATTCCATTCCATTCCATTCCATTCCATTCCATTCCATTCCATTCTAATATTCATTCTATTCTATTCTATTCTATTCTATTCTATTTCTATTCCATTCTATTCCATTCCATTCCATTCCATTCCATTCCATTCTATTCTATTCTATTCTATTCCATTCCATTCCATTCCATTCCATTCTAATATTCATTCTATTCTATTCTATTCTATTCCATTCCATTCCATTCCATTCCATTCCATTCCATTCCATTCCATTCCATTCCATTCCATTCCATTCCATTCCATTCCATTCCATTCTATTCTATTCCATTCCATTCCATTCCATTCCATTCCATTCCATTCCATTCCATTCCATTCCATTCCATTCCATTCCATTCTATTCTATTCCATTCCATTCCATTCCATTCCATTCCATTCCATTCCATTCCATTCCATTCCATTCCATTCCATTCTATTCTATTCTATTCCATTCCATTCCATTCCATTCCATTCCATTCCATTCCATTCTATTCTATTCTATTCTATTCTATTCTATCTAGGGCAAAAGAGGGTCTCCTGCTCGAGCACGGGTTGGACTAGAAGACCTCCAAAGTCCCTTCCAACTCTGTTATTCTGTGTTAATTCCCTCCTCATCTATATTGCTACCTTTTCTTCTTTTTTAAAAAAATATTAATATTGTTATTGCTGTTGCATCAACACCAAGGTGAGGCTCTACGTGAATGTTGAAAAGACGAGTGTGTCCTGCAATCTTGGCTCTGGTGAAGGCTTGTAACACCTTGCCAAGTTAATCGTGTTATTTTTGGCTTCCTGTTGCTGGACGTTAGGGCTTCCTAAATAGGCACGTTCCTGGCATAGCAAGCCTTAGAAATGGGCCGTAGCAAAACCAGCTTATATTATGAGATCCTGAGTGCCTTTTGCTTTCAGGGCAAATAAAGGTTCCCTCCGAGATATTTCCTGGAATGGATGTGTTCCCCTTCCATTCCCCATCCATCCATCCATCCATCCATCCATCTTATTGCATTCTTTTCTGGACCTTTGAACCAACCAGCAGCAGGAACTGAAGTGGTGGTAGTTTAGGGGGAAAAAAAGATTGATTGACCTCATTTTGAGGCATTCTGTTTTACGTTTGATCAGTTTTTTAGGCCGATATAAATAAAGAAGAGAAAATGAAACGAATCACTCAGCATATATTTCATGTGCTTCCATAGCTCGGCATCCAGGCATCCTATAATAATAGAGATTTGTAAATGCTGACAGGGCAGTGACAAACGTTGATTGATCATCCATGCAAGAAACAAATAGATGGGTATTTTTAACTTCTACTTGAACGGAGACAAATTCCTGGTGGGAAAAAATGAAGTGAAAAGCCACAGAAAAACAAAAGAGAGAGGCAAAAAGGGGAAAGGAATAGAATACATACATATAAATGTATACATCACAGTATAATGGTGAAAAGAAGGAGTAGGCGAGACATGGTAGCAGACTTCCAATATTTGAGGGGCTGCCACAAAGAGGAGGAGATCAAAACCACCTGAAGGCAGGAGAAGAAGCAACGGGTGGAAACTAATCAAGGAGAGAAGCAACTTAGAACTAAGGAGAAATTTCCTGACAGTTAAAACAATTAGCCAGTGGAACAACTTGCCTCCAGAAGTTGTGAACGCTCCAACATTGGGGTTTTTAAGAAGATGTTGGATAACCATTTGTCTGAAGTTGTGTAGGGTATCCTGCCTAAGCAGAGGGTTGGGCTAGAAGACCTCCAAGGTCCCTTCCAACTCTGTTATTCTATTCTATTCTATTCTATTCTATTCTATTCTATGCTATGCTATGCTATGCTATGCTATGCTATGCTATGCTATGCTATGCTATGCTATGCTATGCTATGCCATGCCATGCCATGCTATGCCATGCCATTCCATTCCATTCCATTCCATTCCATTCCATTCTATTCTATTCTATTCTATTCTATTCTATTCTATTCTATTCTATCTAGGGCAAAAGAGGGTCTCCTGCTCGAGCACGGGGTTGGACTAGAAGACCTCCAAAGTCCCTTCCAACTCTGTTATTCTGTGTTAATTCCCTCCTCATCTATATTGCTACCTTTCTTCTTTTTTAAAAAAATATTAATATTGTTATTGCTGTTGCATCAACACCAAGGTGAGGCTCTACGTGAATGTTGAAAAGACGAGTGTGTCCTGCAATCTTGGCTCTGGTGAAGGCTTGTAACACCTTGCCAAGTTAATCGTGTTATTTTTGGCTTCCTGTTGCTGGACGTTAGGGCTTCCTAAATAGGCACGTTCCTGGCATAGCAAGCCTTAGAAATGGGCCGTAGCAAAACCAGCTTATATTATGAGATCCTGAGTGCCTTTTGCTTTCAGGGCAAATAAAGGTTCCCTCCGAGATATTTCCTGGGAATGGATGTGTTCCCCTTCCATTCCCTCATGAAGAAGTTGAAGAAAATAGAATAACAGAGTCTGAAGGGACCTTGGAGGTCTTCTAGTCCAACCCCCTGCTCAGGCAGGAAGCCCTACGCCATTTCAGACAAATGGTTGTCCAATCTCGTCTTAAAAACTTCCAGTGTTGGAGCATTTACAACCTCTGGAGGCAGGTCGTTCCACTGATTCATTGTTCTTATTGTCAGGAAATTTCTCCTTAGTTCTAGGTTGCTTCTCTCCTTAATTAGTTTCCACCCAGAGGTGGGTTTCAGCAGGTTCTGACCAGTTCTGGAGAACTGGTAGTAAAAATTCTGACTGGCCCC